AAAACATATTTTTATTGATTTCAAAGAAGGGAGATAGATAGAAACACCAACGATGGCAGAGAATAGTTGATCAGCTGCCTTCTACATACCCCCTACTGGGAACCGGGCCCATAACCAGGGCATGTGTCCCCTGACCGGAATCGAACCCGGACCCTTCAGTCCACAGGCTGACGCTCTACCCACTGAGCCAAACCAGCTGGGGCTTGGCTGAACGCTTTTACTGAGATGGAGCAGCATATACACAGGTACAGCTGTAGTCACCGAGGGCTGAAGAAGAGGTGGGGGCTTCTCGGGCACCCTCTTCTCTGGAGGCCACTCTCAAGATGTTTTCCGTTCACACAGGTGATCTTTCTTATATATATATATATATATATATATATATATATATATATATATATTGGTTTTTTACAGAGAGGAAGAGAGAGAGACAGAGAGCTAGAAACATCGATGAGCGAAAGACATGGATCAGCTGCCCCTTGCACACCCCCCACTGGGGATGTGCCCGCAACCAAGGTACATGTCCTTGATCCGAATCGAACGCAGGACCTTTCAGTCCGCAGGCCAACTCTCTATCCCCTGAGCCAAACCGGTCTCGGCTCTTTCTTCATTTTAACATGTTCTTACTGATTGATTGATTTCTAGAGAGAGAGAAAGGGAGAGAGAGAGAGAGAAACATCTATCCGTCTCCTCCCGCACAGACCCCAACCAAGGATCAGGTCTGCAACCCAGGCATGTGCCCTGACTGGGAATCCAACCAGCAGCCTCCTGGTGCATGGGACCACGCTCAACCGCCTGAGCGACCTGGCGAGGGCATGATTTTCCTTTATGTTAATTCACCTCCTGTGGGGCGTGTTAGTTTGCTAGCGCTGCCGTAATACCGCGTCACAGACAGCCCGGCTTCAACAACCACAGCTCTGGAAGCGAGAAGTCTGAGATCAAAGGACCAGCGGGCCTGGTTTCTTCTGAGGCCTCTCTCCTGGGCTCGCAGACGGCTGCCTTCACCCCGTACCTTCACACGGCCTCTCCTCTGCGGCTCCGTGTTCTAATTCTCTTCTTACAAGAACGCCAGCTATATTGGATTAGCCCCACCACCACCCCCATGACAGTGTAACTTCATGACCTCTTTTAAAGAACCTACTTCCCAAAACAGGCACCTGCGGAGGCACTGGGGGCTACGGTTTTAGCACACAAATTTTGAGAGCAGAGGTCAGTGTGGTGTGCCTGAGAGTGAAACTCAAGGTGCATGGGACAGACTGGGGAACCTCAGAGGGAAGGCGGGGGAGGTGGGTGGGTGGGAAGAGATCAACCAAAGACGTATATGCATGTATGCCCCATGGACACAGACAACAGTGTGCTGAAGGTCTAGGGGAAGATGGGGGAGGGGTGAAAGGCAGGCTGAAAGGGGTCAATGGAGGGGTAGGGAGGGAGACATATGTAAATACTTTCAACAATAAAGATTGTTTGAAAAAGGGAAAGAAACTCATGGCTTGGCAGAAGCTGGACAAAGTTAGAGGCAACTATTGAACACTGCTCAGTGCAGGCCCTGAGCTGAGGGACATCCAAACAAGAAGGCCATGGGCCTGGCCCAAATGCTGCCAGGCCAGCTGCGGGGACAGGGCCCGGGGACAGAGGAGAGTCTGCATCTAAGCTGAGGTGTGCCATGGGACAACAGAGGTGTGACAGGCGGGAACTGCTCTGGAAGCCTAGAGGAAGAAGAAATAAAAATCAGTTGGGTGGCCATGGTCACTGGGAGGTCATACTAGTGATAATAACCACCTTTTATTGAGCACTCTATACAAACTCCGATCTAATCCCGCCTCAGGAGTTGGGGGGGGGGGGGGCACGGAGGGAGGACCCGACTATACCACATTACTTACATCCAGTTCTTAGTGTTGTACTTGGCACCAGTGAGCGTGCAATAAAAGGCAGCGATCACTCATTCAACAAATATTTGTGCAGTGCCTACCATCTACCAGGCAGTGTGCTTGCGGCTGGGATACGATGTCAAGCAGGATCAGCACAGGTTCTTCCCCAGCTGAGCTTACAGGTTAGACATGCACTGTCCAGTCATGGTAGCCACTAGCCACACAGGACAATCAATTAAAAATGAAACATTCAGTTCCTCAGTCACACTGGCCACATTTCGTGTGCTCAGCAGCCACAGGTTGTTACGTTTCCAGCATTGCAGAAGGTTCTATCATGCAGCGTGGGAAAGGGGAAGAGAGATAATGCTTTAATGGTAAAGGCTGTGGACAAACAAGAGGTGTGTGTGTGTTGGGGGAGGGGGGTTTATGGGAAGTAACCTCACAGGGTGAGCTGATCAGAAGTTTCTACCTGTGCTGGTCATGATGGGTAGGCACACCGCAGGCCTGCAACTTTTTTAGTGACAAGTTTTAAGCCAGCCCTGCCCATTGTTCTTGTGCGTGTAGGAAAGGCTAACACACCTTTGAGATGCCAGAAGTAATACCCCAGGAAGAGGCATTCACCCTCAAGAGAGCACCTAATCTGGTTAACTGTAAACTATCCTGTAATCCAAGCCCCACCTGGCTTTCTCCCACCGAACTATAATCTTCCTTATGCTCCCTTCCTAATTTCAGATGAATGCAAGAAACTACAAAACTATTATTCTCCAGAGTATCTGAGATCTTGCTCCCCAGGATATGTCATCAGTTTGACTCAGATAAACTCAAAGAAAAGGTTTGGACATTTCTTACATCGACAAGGTTGTGATAGAGTACAAGAAAAGTACAAGAAAAGAACATTATTACTGGGGGTTCATGGGGGAATAAGGACACATATGTAACACCTTAATCAATAAAGAAAATTTAAAAAAAAACACACGTTATTACTATTCTCATAATTGAGAAGGTCTGAGAAGTTAAGCAGTTTGACTAATTCACACAGTTACTAAGTGCAAGAATTGGAATCTGAACCCAAGTCTGTCTTAATTCCATGCTACCTTGGGCACAGGTAGAATCTGGTTAAAGAGCGAAGACGGAGAAGGCCCCGTTGGTAGGAAAGTAGCAGCCTGGGCAAAGACAGAGGCCCAGGTGGCCGAGGCTGGCAAAGGACCACAGGTAAACCAGTCTGGCTGGAGAGGCAGAGACTTGTTGAACTCATGTGCTTGGAAAGGTAAGTCAGGGCTTGCCCGCCTTGACTAAGAGCCAAGGAGCCAGTAACCCCAGCTCTGTGTGCAGAGGTTGAGTCCTTGTCACAGGTGAACAGGAGCCTGGCGTGGGCAGGACTGTGTCAGGAGGGTGGCGGTGCTTGTGTGAACGGTGCCGAGACCGGTAAGGATGGCAGGGTGGACAGAAAGGAAGGGATGAATGAATGGTGTGAAGCAAAGAACACCAGGGTGGGAGCCAAGAGATGTGACCCTTCGGCTTAATACTATGTAACACTGGGCATTCTATTTCATTTCTTTGGGCCTCATTTCTTCCATTTTAAAAGAATAGGACTGGTCCAGAAGACCTCTGAGTCCTGTTCTAGCTATGGTTTCTAGGAACCTGCAAAGGTGAACGGCAGGCTAAGAGAAGCAGTAGGAAGAGTAGCATTGCATATGGGGGCAAGAAAGATGGCGAGTCTAAGATCATCCAGATATGAACTAGGAAAGATGTGCCACTAACACAACTAGAAAGATGTATGAAAGGGCTTGTCTTTTTTTGTTTGTTTTTATTTTTTATTTTTTGAGGAGTTTGGGGAGGGTGGAGTCCCAGGGTATGGAGGTTGGGAATGATAAGGGGTTTGGATTTTAGGAAAGTAGTGCCATATTAGAAATCATTATTATACACCTCCAGGCATAGATTTTAAACTTTTTTCACCCATGTCGTTCAGTTTTAGGAAATACAATTCACATCATCATACATTATGGTTGTCCAGTATATATATAACTGAAACAAGAGATTTATGCAACCAGTTACCCTTACTAAGGGCAATGGATCCTAATATTTCTTCTGAAACATTTCATTTTTTAAAAGCTGATTGCCATCTACTGAATTTCTTTAATAATTGATTGTTGTCACCACCCACAGTGTTCAAAGCACTGCCTCCCAGGAGACTCCTCTTCTTAACGTGAAGGCCATGGCAGTGCGTCCTGTCACCGAATCCAGCAGGGCCTGCGGAAGGGAACCTGGACAGGGAGTCTGGAGAAGGTTCAGCTGAAGGCTGAAAGGGAGAAAGCAGAGGCCTGGGAAGGTTCCGCGGAGAAGGACAGAGGCCTGCGAACGGGTCGGCGGGGACCATCAGGTGATGGAAGAGCCTTGTAAGGACCCTGTGGGCGTGAGGACGACGTGGAAACCAGGTTCCCGCAGGACCTCAGCCACCACCGCGCGCTGCATTCCTCCCGCGACCACAGCAGGAATGGCTTCTGCATCTTTGACCTGCTATGCATTTCTTTTTATTTTATATTTTCTTTCCTTTTTCTCCTACGGATGTCAAGCTCCTCCACTCACTCACTCATCCTCCCTCCGAGGACAGCCTGCGCCCACTCCTTTGCTCCTACCTTCCCCACCTCGGTCAGGGAGCGAGCGCCGAGCAGGTGCGACAGAGGGAGCCACTACGCCAGCCCGCGGCTCCCTTTCCAGTCCGCGCCCCCTCCCGCCCCAGGGCGCACGCACAGACGCGCAAAGTTCTGGCTGCTCCCCGGGTCCACCGGCTCCCCTTCGCCAGTCCAGATGGATGGACCTGTGTGCACCCCTCGCCCTCTGCAGCCGCCTTCGCTCCCTTTAATCGCAGCAGCTGCCCGGCCCGACCCCGCCCCCGGCCCGCCCCCCGGCCCGGCCAGCTGCTCTGCCCTGGGCTCGGCCACGCCCCGAGGAGGCCACGCCCCCGGCCGGGCCCGCCGCTCTGCCCTCGGCTCGGCCTTCCCCGCCTCGCATCCGTGCCATCGGCGCTCGATTGCGCGCGGACTCCGCTCCCCGGCTCGCTCGCTCGCTCGCTCCCCGCCGCTCCCCGCCCCTCGGCCCCCGCCCCCCGCCCCTCCTCCCGGCTGCGCCCGCCCCTCCGCCTCCCGTGCAACTTTTGCCGAAGCCCCCACACACAGCCATGCTGAGCTGAGCTCCGGCCGGGGACTGGCCGCGCGCTGCCCGCCCCGGCTCCCGCCCCACCGCGGACCCGCTCGGGGGCCGCGGCCGCTCGGCCCCTCGGCCTCCGCCGCTGCGCCCCCCCGGCCGCCCCGGAGGAGCCCCGCGCAGGGCCCGGGCCGCGGCGGCGGCGGCGGCGCCCGGCTCGCACCCCCGGCGCCTGCCCAGGGAGGCGGTGATGCGGGCGCCGGCGGCCCCGGCTGCGCCGAGAGCGGAGACACAGGCTCAAGATGGCAGATTCCGACTGAGGCTGGGGGGGCCGAGCTCGCGCGCCGCGATCCCTTCTCCGTTGCCATGAATCGCGGACACCCCGGCCCCGATGGCCCCCGTGTACGAAGGTAAGAGGCGCCGGCCCGCTCGCCTGCCCGCGGCCCCCGCAGCTTTGTTCTGCCCGCGGCCCCTCGCCGGGCAGCCCCCCGGCCCCCGCGCCCCACCCCCGGGCGCCACCGGCTCGGACCCCTCCCCTTCATCCCCTCCCCGCTACCCCCTTCCCGGCCCACAAAACGAGCCGGGGTCCGGAATGGAACAGGATCTCATTTCCAAGGTGGAGGGGGCGGGGGTGCGAGGCTGGGCTGGCGCCCGAAGAAAAGAAATTGGGAGGGGGCGCCTGGCAAAGACGGATCCCCTGATGATGCGCTTTATGTATTTGCAATAGATAAAAGGGGATGGGTGTAGCTTTCCTCCCCCACCCCCCGAAGATTACCTTTAGGAGGATCTCATTTCCACCCGGTCCTCGCAGCTCCCTTTCCATTTGTCTCCACTACCACCCGCGCGCCTTTATCCTTCGCCAGCCGCGGGTTTGGGGGCCTGTGGGGTCGAAATGCGCGGGGCCAGGTGAGGAGAAGGGGGTCCGGGGGGCAGGGAAGGGGGGAAAGTCCGGGTCAGACCCGGGCAGAACAATGAAATAGACTGAAATCTCACATCTCCCCGCATCGACGTGCGTAAAGAGAAAACGTAGTTTGGGGCTTTCAAGTTGGGGAGACGGTTCCCCGGGTGGGTCCGGGCTCTGCGCGCTGCACCTCCACCTGGCGCCGCCGGGTCCTCGCGCCGGGTCGGACGGTCTTTGGGAAGAAAGAAAACGCAGGGCAAAAGCGCTTCGTCTCCCTGCCCTCCCTACCGATCGTTTTTCTTCTTCTTCAGTCAGTTCTGTCAGTTTCCAGCCAGGAATCAAACCAAGAATCAACTAAGTTTTTGGGTTTTTTTTTTACACTTCGGTGTGTTTTGTGTGTGTGTGCTTGTAGCAGGAGGAATTTAAAACCCAAGTGGGCCTGATTTTTCAATCTTTTCATCGTGAAAATGTTTTTCTCATGAAATCATTGGAATAGCAGCCTTTTACATACTTTTTAGCAGCGGCCGTCCATCTGGCTTCCTTTCGGTTTTGTTCAGAGGTTATGTGGATGAAATAACGAATGGCGGGGGGGGGGGGGGGGGGAGGTTTGTGAGAAGCAGAGAGAGGAGGGGTGAGGAGAGGCGATTTTAATCCTTCTATAAATCCAGAGAGCAGGGGTGGCGAGTGAGACAGGGAAGGCATTAATAGTTTTTTATCTTTGTTGTAAGAGGCAGATTAAAAAAAAAAAAAAAAACTTATCTGAAAAGAAAATCTGTTATTAGTTCCAGGGCTCCAAATGAATTAGGTTTCTGGGTGGAATAAAGTTACCAGTCAGGCCCTGGATAGCAGGCTGTAAATAACCTATGGACTGTAAATATTTTTTTTCAGACTCTCTTAGAAACAAAGGGGCTGTTTAGAAGGCAACAGAGAGATGTTATTCCAGGGGCTTTCCTCTTTGATTCTGAAGAACACAAGGTCCATTTAGCCATTCAACAAAACAAAACCAAATTTCTGATCGCTCCACCACGCAGAATAGAGGGAGCCGGTGGCTCTGTGGCATGCTTAGGAGGACCCATGTCGGGCATTCATTGTTCGTCTGTGTCTATGGGAGGGGGCTGCCATCAATGCTCCCACTGTCTATGGAGTGTTAAAATGAAACAATTTTCTCTTTATTAAGTGCCTCCTTGAGACTCCCTCTGCTGGACACTCCGGGTGAGCATTAGAGAAGGAACTTGGCATTGAATTCAGAACTACAGCAACCGGCTGCTTTCCCTTTCACAGGGGCCGGGTGTGTGGGTTGGGATGTATTTTGTCAACTTTGTGGAAAGCCATCTTGGGAGCTGCACCGTTCCCCTCCTGTTCCTTTCATTCTAAACCCATGTGGAATGTGGGCCCCGACCCCCGGGGCTAAGCCTGGGCGCTCCTGTTCTCTCTTCGGTGTTCCCAGCGCTTCAGCCCAGATAAAGGACTGGGGGTGTGCACAAAGTGTTGGGGTGTAAGACTAATTAGGGACCTCCAAGATCTCAGGAGTGCAGTTTTTATTTGCAAGCCTTCCCTCCCTGTCCCAGGTGACCTCCCTGGTCACTGCGTTCAGCCCTGGGCTTCCCTCCGTCCTGTTTGTATGCTCTCTTAATGATCCCAAGGCTTTGCACACTTTGATTCTTCAGTGTCTGTGTGCATCCCTGTAATCCCTTTCCTAGTCTTCCTCCTCTCCCCTCCTCAACCGGTTCAGCATCCCGCTGCACAAGCCCAGGGTCTTACTGAAAGAGGCTGTTGGTCACGCTCTGAAACAGCCAAGTGACCTCCAGAGCCGAGGATTGTATTGCTGGAGCCTCCGTTCACTCACTGTGATACGTGCTTCTGAGACGCCAGTGACTTCCTTTTCCCTCCTTGGCGATACCTGCCGGATTCCGTGAGCCCGGTTCTTACCAGATCCCAATCAGAACACGAGGGCTACCTCTGCGTGTCCTGAAGGAGCAGGAATTTTCCTATGGAATTCTCCAGGAAGAGTGATTTCTAATAGTTTTTATGCTACTAAGAACTCGGGCCTGGGGTTCTTCTCAGGAGACAGGTGAGGAGGCGTTCGGGCGGTAATTCAGGAGTGTGCATTTGTGTAAACGGGGTGCCGTCGCCCCGAGCTGGGGTGTTGGGTGAAAACCCGGATGCAGGAGAGGAGCGTTCTGAGCTGCCTGGCGTTCCAAACAGGGCATGCTTGCTAATGCGAATTACTGGGTGGCAAAGAGTGTAATCACTCTTCCACAATTTGCTTCTAAGGATAGGTTTATAAATAGCACATTAGTTTGCAGTGGCTCGGTACTGATTAGGTTCAACTTCTTTAAAAAGGTTTGTTTTCTTTAGAAGGTTAAACATTTGCCTCACGATTGTTGGTTACTCCATCGACTCGCTTAGCAAGGCTCTTTTTCCAACATGTAGGGCAAAGGCCAATCGCAAAGGCCTGGTTGCCACAGGTTCTGAAGTAGAAGACCCTAAATTCCAAGTTAGCTGTGTTCCCCTGTACCTGAGAGGAGCCACGCTGACTGCTCACACAGTCAGACTTCCCCAGAGTGTTGAAATCTACCGTCGGATGAGCCTGAACCACACACCTACCAAGATGCCTTACCAAGAAATGGGCTCTGAATCATCTTCCATTAAAATAATTTGATGACACACGTTCTAAAATATCTTTTCTTGTGTTTGTGTGTTATGTTTTTTTTAAATGAGTAAGTATAAATATTGTTTTCATTCTTGCCACATTTGAGCAGTGATCAAGGCTTGTTAACGTCACCTCAGTTCCGGGCATTCCCGTGCAATATGTGAATCAGAGGGGGAGGCTGCGTATGACTCGGGACGTGCAGCTGAACTTCCCACATTTAGAAACGAGTGGATGGAAAGGGCCCGGCTGTGGTGGGCCTTTTCTCAGCGCGTATTAAGTCCCTCTATCTCCTGAGCTGGTGCTTACAGGCATGATGACTCCAGGGAAAGAATAACCCACAGTTCAGAAAACCAATAATAGCAGCGTTTCAATTATTAATCTCCTGCCATTCCCTTTCCAGTGTGGGCACCAGCAACAATAAGCCCCCTCTGGCCACAGAAGAAAGAGCCCTTTTTGACCCCCTCTGTGACCTTCCCAGATCCGTGATTCCCACTGAGCTGCCACGCTGGTTTCAGGTAGAGGATTTCTCATCTGTGGAGGCACATTCTGTGCCACTTTCAAAACCAGAGTCTCAGAGGCTGCAGCTGTGCCTCTGGGAAAGCATCCCAAAGTCTGAAAGGTTCGACCTCTGCCCTTAATCAGGATCCATCGCTAACCCAGGCGGCAGGCTGGGGCAGGAGGGCTGGCCTACCCAGCGCTTCCTCCAAGGGGAGGCCCCCACTCGCCCACCAGCCGGCGCCTGCAGGCTCAGCGTGCACACCACCTCATTTTCCTACGCGAGAAACTTGGTGCTTTGAGCAAGTTTCAGCTGCTCATAGTCTTCATATTTTATTCTGTATGTTCTTTCACTTCTCCCTTCCTTCTTCCTCTCACAGAAACCAGTCTTGGGGAACCACCTTCGAGGTTTAGGTGGAACAAAGTAGGGATGATCAAGAGGATATGATACGTGAACCTTGTTTTATTCCCTGAACAGGTATTTTTCATTGTTCTTTGAACAGGTATTTGCCAGAGCTTTCTGGTAGTCTTATGTTGACAGTTCAGGCACTTCAGGTTGCTGTCAAAGACAGGGTTCAGAGTAAAGTGAGCTGACTGTAATAATCACCACAAGGTGTGAACCTGAAAGGCCCAGACTCCTAATGTCAAGTTCATACGCCAATACCCTATTGGGAGGGAAAAGAAAAAGGAAATTGAAGACCTGGAGTAAGTAGGAGGGTCTTTATTTTTTTCTCTAAAAGAAAAGGACAGGCCTGAAGTTCATGGTGATAATTGTGACTTGGACCCCACTCAGTTTGTGCCATACTCTCTGCTCATTAACGTGTCTTCCCAGCAGACCCGAGGGAGGCACTGCCGCCTCACTTCGCAGGCAGGGCACTGCTTTCGTGCGTTCCTTTAACAGACATGTATGCGCGGTCCCTGTCCTCGAGGAGTTCAGGGGTATGAGAAGTCAAAGTCAGAACTGAACATGGACTCACCAGCCCATGGTCTGGCTCAAGGTGCATGTTTTTCTCGTGGGCATGTGTGTGTGTGCCAGTTCATCATTTTCATCTGTTAATGTTTCTCAAGGTGTAAAGCAGGGGCGAGGAATGTCCACCCCATGGGCCATGTGAGGCTGGCCCTGCCCCAGCATTAGGGGTGAGATACTTAAAGGTAACTCATTTTTAAGTTGGTAATTTTGTACGGCCTGCAGACAATGTTATTAATATCCAAATGGCCTTTGGCAGAAAAAGGTTCCCCACCCTGGTATAAAGGGAAGATCCCGTTTCCCTCTTTTCTCTTGAAATATTTCCTTTATTTGGAATTTTTTTAAAAAAGTATCTCTGAATGGAAAGAATGCTACTACAAATTCTCTTAGAAAT